GACGGAGGAAAATATATATGGGAGCTATATCTAAATCAGAACTGATTTCTACGAAACTTAGCACACACCATTCTTGATTTAATTTAGAGCACTATGTCAAGTTTCGTGCAAATCGAAAGACATATAGGGACTTTGGTGCCCCATTTACATTAAATCGGACGAAAATATTTATGAGAGATCTATCTAAATCTAAACCGATTTTCACGAAACTTAGCACACGTCATTCTAGAGTTAATTCAGTACGCTATGACACACTTCGTGCAATTCGAGAGATATATAAGGACTTTAGTGCACCATTAGTCTTAAATCGGACGAAAATATTTATGGGAGCTATATCTAAATCCGAACCGATTTTCACGAAACTCACCACTCATCATGCTATTCTCAATTCAGTACGCTATGCCAAATTTCGTGCAGATCGGAGGATATATAGGGGACTTTAGTGAACCATATAACTTAATACGGACGGAAATATATATGTGGGAGCTATATCTAAATCTGAACCGATTTTCAGAAAACTTCACACACATCATTCTATACCTAATTCATTACGCTGTGCCAAATTTCGTACAAATCGAAAGATATATAGGTACTTTGGTGCACCATTTGCCTTAAATCGGACGAAAAGATATATGGGCGCTATATCTAAATATGAACCGATTTTAACGATATTTAAAACACATGTTTCCAGACTTAATTCAATACGCTATGCCAAATTTCGTGCATATCGAAAGATATATAGGGACTGTTGTGCACCATTTACATAAAATCGGACGAAACTATATATGGGAGCTACATCTAAATCTGAACCGATTTTCAGAAAACTTCACACACATCATTCTAGACTTAATTCAGTACACTGTGCCAAATTTCGTGCATATCGAGAGTTTTATATTGACTTTGGCGCACCATTTACATTAAATCAGACGAAAATATATAAAGGAACTATATCTAAATCTGGACCCATTTTCCCGAAACGTACTACTGTGCACCATTTACATAAAATCCGGACAGATTTTCACGAAACTTACCACTCATCATTCCATTCTCATTTCAGTACGCTATGCCAAATTTCATGCAAATCGGAGGCTATATAGGGGACTTTTGTGCACCATTTACCTTAAATCTGAGGAAAATATATATGGGAGCTATATCTAAATCTGAACCGATTTTCATCCAATTCGAATCATAAATGCGACCTGTATTTTGTTTACAATTTAACATCTACAGACGGACAGACTGGCGGACATGCATAAATCAACTTAAAAAGTGATTCTATGCATATTCTCAAAAGGAACTTTGGGTCTATCTCGTTTCCTTTTGCCTTTAACAAACATATGCACAAAGACATAATACCCCGTACCACAGTGTGGTGAAGGGTATAACAAAATCTACCTCTTTTTTATAACTCGAATAAATATTTGTATTTATTTTGGTGTTGCAAAGATATTTTTTAAACAATTTTTATCTAGCTTTCACCACAATATCGACTGTTGAATTCATAACCATTTCCTTTTGCTCAGCTCTTTTGAGATACAGGAACACACCAATGCGATAGAAGCCTTTCATTACGAAGTGGGGAATACTATTTTTATCCAATTTGAAATTACGCCACGAATAATGACCCTGGGGAAGGGGAGCAAATATTTTTTTTTTATAATTCCAAAAAAAATTTCAAAATCTTACCACCATTATAGGGCACTCCTTGGGCAGGGTTCCATATTTGCGAACATTACTAATCCACACATTATTTTCCAGTTCTTCTCAGGGATACACATACCCTCTCCTGTAGACTAGAGGAAAACTGATTCAGGAAAATTAATAGGGAATACAACAGGAATTTTGTATATTCCATCTGGGTCACCAACAGAACAGTAACTGATATTTTGCTGACAATCTAAATATTTTACAAATGTCTAACAGTTTGGTAATTTTTATATTTAGAAAAACAATATTGAGATTGAGATCACTTCGCTAAATACTGGAAATAATTACTTGTTTGTTAACAAATTATTTATTTATTTTTTCTTTTGCTGGATTGCATTAATACCATTATGTGATTTAGAGCATACTTTTAGGCGCTTATTGTTATTAAGGAGGCTTACACGAATTTTATTAAAATAAATTTTAAATTTAACAAATTGGCATGTATTTTACAAAAATATTTTTTCATGGACCTGCATAGGCGTGGGTTTCTTAAAAATATTTCTTCATGCATCTACATAAGGCGCGGATTCTTTTGCATATGTTTGTAACAGGCAAAAGGAAACGAGATAGACACGTGGTTCCTTTTGAGAATATGCATAGAATCACTTTCTAAGTCGATTTATGCATGTCCGTCCGTCCGTCTGTTCATGTAAAATTGTAAATAAAGTACAGATCACATTTATGATCCGAATTGGATGAAATTTGGTACAGCTAGTCTATTAAGCCCAAGGACGAACCCTATTGAAATTGGGAAAATCGGTTCTGATTTATATATAGCTCCCATATATATTTTCGTCCGATTTCAGGTAAATGGTATACCAAAGTCCCTATATATCTTTCGATTTCCACGAAATTTAGCATAGCGTAAAATTAGCGTAAAATTTCTTGAAAATCGGTTCAGATGTAAATGGTGTACCAAAGTCCCTATATATCTTCCGATTTGCACGAAATTTGGCATAGTGTACTAAATTTAGTCTAGAATGATGAGTGGAAAATTTCGTGAAAATCGGTTCAGATTTAGATATAGCTCCCATATATATTTTCGTCCGATTATAGGTAAATAGTGCACCAAAGTCCCTTTATATGCTTCGATTAGCACAAAATTTGGCTTAGCGTACTAAATTGAGTCTAGAATGATAAGTGATGAGTTTCGGGAAAATCGGTCGAGATTTCGATATAGCTCCCATATATATTTTCTTCCGATTTAAGGTAAGTGGTGTACCAAAGTCTCTACATATACTTCGATTTGCACGAAATTTGGCACAGCGTGCTGAAATAAGTCTAGAACGATGTGTGTTAAATTTCGTGGATATCGGTTCAGATTTAGATATAGCTCTCGTATATATGTTCGTCCAATTTTAGGTAAATAGTGCACCAAAGTCCCTTTATATCCTTCGATTTGCACGAAATTTTGCACAGCGTACTGAATTAAGTCTAGAGAGATGTCTGTTAATTTTTGTGAAAATCGGTTCAGATTTAGATATAGCTCCCACATATAGATTATATTTTTAACAATAGTGTGTATAGAATAGAATAGTGTGTATCAATTTTGCTATAAATCGTTTTCCATAAATTTTCCCCAGACCGCTTTAAATCTGCTCGAATGAAATTAAGGTTAGGATAGGTTGGAGAAAGTGGAAACATAGACATGCAATTGTTAGGATACATATGTTCAATATACCCAAAGTGATGAAGGGTATCATATAGTCGGCCCAGTACGACTTTACTACCTTTCTTACTGGTTTAAAAATATTTTTTCATGGAGCAAATTCAAATTGGCCTTTTGAATGGAAAATTTTTGAGGAAAGTCATTTCATCGTCTAGCAAATTTTACTATAGTTTATAATCGGATTATTTAAACCAAATTAGTTGTAGACTCTTAATTGATATATAATGATTGCCTATTCCTCATTACAAAATAGTAACTGAGGCAGAAAATTAAATCTATTAACTTTATAGAGAAAAAATCATTTCGATTATTTTCAGTTAAGGGAGGAAGATGAGACATTCACCACGCACATCGACATTTATATGGATTATATTTCTAAATAATCTGCAATGGAATATTGCTGCTAAAGTCAAGGTAGGTTAAGAATCTAATACCAAAGAAATTGCATCGATTACTTCCCTCCATCTCACCTTTCAGACAAAAGTGGTGCTCTTTCACAATGCCACCACCTTCCACAATCCCGACTACTTCAACCGCTATGATGTCTCATTTTCCGAGGATCATCAAAGTATGGATTGCGATTCGATGCTAATACGAAATATAACCGAACCACTTTGGGATAAATTCAGTGTTGAAATGAAATTGAAAAAGGACAACAACTATCGGGTCCTTGTCACCTATATATTTAATGTTTGTGACATTTTGGGTAAATCGTTTAAGGAGTCGACCAACCTTTTCGGCCTCTGGGCCCAAAATATGTTGAAATATGGTAATCTACCTAAGTCATGTCCTATACTGGCGGTAGGTAAATGTCGAAACATTATTTATTAAATAATAATTTTTAATTTGGATTTCAGAATCTTTATAGCTGGCATAATTTTCGTATAGAAAGGACTAGTATTCCGCCGATGGTTTTGAATGGTTATTATCGCTTGAATATCACCAATTTTCTTAAGAGACCTCAGGGCAATGAGATCTTAACAGATTCTACGATGATTGTGGTTGTTAAAATGAAATATTAAAAACATTTAATAAACAAAATTTAAATTTAAATAAAAAAAATTTTTCAACGACTTATTTTTTTAAAAATATTTTTTCAATTAGCCAACATACCCGTGGATTTTTATACCCTACACAATTATGTTGTCAAGGTATTATAGCTTTGTGCTGCCCCAAGAAATTGTAACGCCGTGAAATATTGGTCCTAGACCCACCGTTTAGTATACCGAAATTGGGAATAATCAGATTTAGATATAGCTCCCATATATAGTTTCGTCCGATTTTATGTAAATGGTGAACCAAAGTCCCTATTTATCTTTCATTTTTCTCGAAATTTGGCATAGTGTACTGAATTAGGCCTAGAATGATGTGTGTAAAATTTCTTGAAAATCGGTTCAGATTTAGAAATAGCTCCCATATATAGTTTCGTCCGATTTTAGAAAAGTAGTGCACCGAAATCCCTATATATCCTTCGATTTCCACGAAATTTATCTTATCCTACTGAATTAAGTCTAGGACGATGTGTGTTAAATTTCGTTAAAATCGGGTCAGATATAGATATAGGTCCCATATATATTTTCGTCCGATTTTGTGTAAATGGTGCACCAAAGTCTCTATATATATTTGGATTTTCACGAAATTTAGCATAGTGTGCTGAAATGAGTCTAGAATGGCGATTGTCAAGTTTCGAGAAAATCCGGTAAGATTTAGGTATAGCTCCTATACATATTCCGATTTAAGGTAAATGTGGCACCAAAGTCACAGAACAGAGTGATGTGTGCTAAGTTTCGAGAAAATCGGTTCAGATATAGATATAGCTCCCATATATATTTTCTTGCGATTAAAGGTAAATGGGGCACCAAAGTCCCTATATATCTTTCGATTTCCACGAAATTTGGCATAGAGTACTGAATTGAGTCTGCAATGACGTGTGTTAAGTTTCATGAAAATCGGTTCGGATTTAGATATGGCTCCCATATATATCGTCGTCGGATTTAAGGTAAATGGTGCACCAAAGTCCCTATATATCTTCAAATTGCACGAAATGTGGCATAGGATACTGAATTAGGCCCAGAATGATGTATGCTAAGTTCCGTGAAAATCGGTTCAGATATAGATATAGCTCCCATATATATTTTCGTCCGATTAAAGGTAAATGGGGCACCAAAGTCCCAATATATCTATCGATTTGCACGAAATTTGGCATAGGGTACTTATACAAGGGTTGGATTTTTTAAAAATACTCTGATACCCAATAACAAGAATAGGCGTGGATTCTTACAAAAATATTTTTTATTTTTATTACATGTTCAAATTTAAATTTTAATATTTGATTTTTTTCATTTCATTTTCAGGGTAAACAATAATGTGGTATCACTCAACATAACATTTCCCGATTTTGTTTTAAAAAAATTAGTAGTATTGATGCGATATAAACCATTTAGGGCAAATGAGGGTATGCTGTTGCGTTCCACTTTGAAATTTTGCCAGCCATAGGTACCCTAAAATTCCAAAAAAAAACAACTTGAAATTTCTTCACAAAGCAAATAAAACTCATAACTACAAACCGTCAAAACTGGACATGACTTTGGCAAATTACTATATTTCAGTGTGTTTTGTACCCACAACATTATCATATTAGTGGTGCTGCTGCGTCCGGTCACACCAAGAAAATTACAAATATTTATTTCATAATTAAATATCGATTTGTAATGGTTCTCCTCTTTCTTAGCTTTGATTTCAATGCTCAACCGATTCCAAATGGGTTGGGTTATATTTTTTATTAATATCGCTTCACAATCAAAGCCTTGACGATCTTGGGAGATATCTAGGTGATAGTCACTTAAATATTCGGTATTGTATATAATTTTGACATCCTGAAATAATAAAATTCTGGACTGTGGGGAGGAGGTGGAAAATTATTATTTTTTTAAAAAAAATGAATTTTTTATAATCTCACCTTTTGTTTTGATGCTTCATTGCAAATTACGCAAATTATTAGAATCAATAAAATCCGCCACATATTCAGAGAACCATGACGAGCCATGGTTTGGGAAATATTGCGTTAAAACAAAGTTGAATTACCTAATAGAACTAATGAGACTAATTTGATCCAATCCATGGTGTTTGGGTTTTATACAACACCAACACCACTATAGCGGTTGGGGGTAATATTTTCGGTATCGGCCAAAGGTTGGTAACAAATCGATGAAATTAAGAAAAAAATACAAAATCTTTAAAATTATAATATCTAACAAATTCTCGCCTTATATATAGGCCTTGAAAAAATATTCTTTAAAAAATCCACGCCTCTTAAAAAATATTCTTTAAAAAATCCACGCCTCTTAAAAAATATTCTTTAAAAAATCCACGCCTCTTATAGGCCTTGAAAAAATATTCTTTAATAAATCCACGCCTCTTATAGGCCTTGAAAAAATATTCTTTAAAAAATCCACGCCTCTTATAGGCCTTGAAAAAATATTCTTTAAAAAATCCACGCCTCTTATAGGCCTTGAAAAAATATTCTTTAAAAAATCCACGCCTCTTATAGGCCTTGAAAAAATATTCTTTAAAAAATCCACGCCTCTTATAGGCCTTGAAAAAATATTCTTTAAAAAATCCACGCCTCTTATAGGCCTTGAAAAAATATTCTTTAAAAAATCCACGCCTCTTATAGGCCTTGAAAAGATATTCTTTAAAAAATCCACGCCTCTTATAGGCCTTGAAAAAATATTCTTTAAAAAATCCACGCCTCTTATAGGCCTTGAAAAAATATTCTTTAAAAAATCCACGCCTCTTATAGGCCTTAAAAAAATATTCTTTAAAAAATCCACGACTCTTATAGGCCTTGAAAAAATATTCTTTAAAAAATCCACGCCTTATATAGGTCATTGAAAAAATATTCTTAAAAAAAATTCACGCCTTCATAGATAGGTCATTAAAAATATTAAAAAAAAATCAACGAGTTATAGAGATCATTTAAAAAAATATTTTTTTTATAAAAATAACGCTTTATGTAAGTCATATTCTTTTTTATATTTTTTATACCATCCACCGCACTGTGGTACAAGGTACTGCATCGACAACATATAATTGTGACGATGGACGGGTAAGATCTTCGTCTCCTCATGAAGATGGTCCACAGGAGTCATGAGGAGACACTCTGTGGCAGTTATTAGGGCAGCATTCTGGTAGGTCTGGATATTATTCCACTGCGTATCACTAACATTCGCGTACCACACTGGCGCAGCATAGCTTACCACTGCCGGCCTATTGCTTTATAAGAGGTCAACAAGGTTTCTTTGTCAGCGCCCCAAGTGCTGCCGGCTAGCGACTTGAGGACCTTGTTCCTACTTCCCAGTTTATCGCATAAATCAGTCGCTTGCGCAGACGACTTGAAAAGGCTGTCGAAGGCCCAGTATCGGGGGGTAGTTGGTGGTCGGAATCAATTCTCCATCGACCATTATGTTCAGTGGGAGCTTCGTTTCAGCCGCCCATCCTTGGGTGCTATCGTCGGGAACATCCCTGCCATAGTCTTATGAACAGGACTCCCCCGCTCAGGCACATCAGGAAAGATATTCATGATCTTGAGAGAGGTGCAAAGGTACAAGCGTGAATCCCCAGATCAAGAACCCTTATAGCAGGTCTGAATGGTATTCACACAGACGAAGTCGTTCAGGCAGTAGAGCAATACCGCGTGAATACCATAATTGGACACCACCCCCCCATCCATCGCAGCAGAGAAGAAGCAGCTCCCAAGGCAAACACGAGTAGTTTTAGCTGAACTAAGTTCAGGATGGTGCAACCGCCTCAATTCACATTTCTGCAAGAATTGACGGCTCTATATCTAACACATGTCCTGCATGTGGACTAGGACCACACGACACGTTGCACCTCAACAATTGGTCAGCTATGCCGACTCATCTATCGCCGAATTCCGTTGAATTTGCAGTATTCTTGAATTTGGAGGTAGAGGAAGCAGAACCAGACGATGAATGACAAGGTACATGTATTCTGTTGCTACAAAAACAACAACAGGGTATTATGTCTTTGTGCATATGTTTGTACAGGCAAAAGGAATCGACAGTAGACCTTTTGTGACTACTCCTTGGACCGTCCGCCCGTCTGTTTATGTTAAATTGTAAACAAAGTACAGGTCGCATTTTTCATATGAATTGGATGAAATTTGGCACAGCTCATTCATTTGGACCATGGACGAACCTAATTGAAATTAAGAAAAATCGGTTTAGATTTAGATATAGCTCCCATATATATTTACGTCCGATTTAAGGTAAATGTTGCAACAAAGTCTTTAACTACATTTCTATTTGCACTAAATTTGGAACATCGTACTGAATTAAGCCTAGAATGATGTGTGCTAAGTTTCGTGAAAATCGATTCAGATTTCGATATAGCTCTCATATATATTTTCGTCCGATTTGAGGTAAATGGTGTACCAATGCCCCTATATATACTCCGATTTACACGAAATTTGGCACAGCTTACTGAATTAAGCCTAAGTTTCGTGAAAATCGGTTCAGATTTAGATATAGCTCCAATATATCGTTTGCTCCGATTTTATGTAAATGGTGCACCAAAGACCCTATATAACTTTCGATTTGCATACAATTTGGCACAGCGTACTGAATTAAGTCTAGAATGACGTGTGCCAAGTTTTGAGAAAGTCGGGTCAGATTTATATATAGCTCCCATATATATTTTCGTCCGAATGGTGCACCAAAGTCCCTATATATCTTTCGTTTTGCACGAAATTTGGCATAACGTACTGAATTAAATTCAGA